TACGCGAGATTTAATGTAGTGAGTGTCTAGATGAAAAGGTGTAGGTACACACATGGTATTGATAGACAGAGAATAAGAGTTACGTTGTTGTGTTCTAATGCATTACCCAAAGATTGTCCTCCAGCACATCCGATTCGATTGAGAGAGAGGTTTAGTCTGGTGAGTGTCTAGATGAAAAGGTGGAGGTAAATACATGGTATTGGTAGAGAAAGAACCAGAGTTACTTTATTGTGTTTTAATGCATTACCCAAATGTTGTGCTCCAATATCTCCGATTTCATTGTATAAGAGATTTAATGCGTTGAGTGTCTAAATGAAAAAGTGTAGGTAAATACATAGTATTGATGGAGAAAGAATAAGGGTCACTTTGTTATGCTGTAATGCATTACCCAAAGATTGTGCTCCAAAGTATCGAATATGATTGTATGAGAGATTTAATGTGGTGAGTGTCTAGATGGAAAAATGGAGCTAAAGATATGGTATATATAGAGATAGAATGAAAATTACTGTATTGTGTTGTAATGCACGACTCACATGTTCTGCTTGAAGATTTCCGATTCCAGCCTTATCGAGATTTAGCGTTGTTAGTGTCTAAATTAAAAAGAATAGGTTAAGCGGTGGCGCACATTAAGAGGGAAAATAATTGGTCTGGGTTATTTGGGGTTATATCCTTGAAATGAATATGGTTCGGACTTCGTTTCGGTGTCTACATATATGGATATGAATATTTATATAACTTTATATGCTGTATAGCGTTGGATAATGTTTTGTCAGAATCTAGTCTGAAAAGAAGTACCATGAGGGAGTGTCTGTAACTTTAAATGCTTGCAAAAGAAGGAATAATTGTTGGTTAATAGATAATAGTTTGTAAGTTAGTGCTGCTGGAAAACAATTATCAAAATTTGTACTGAATGAGTCAGAGCTTAATCAATTGTAGGAATCTGTTGTTAGTCGTCTGTGGGTATCAGAAAAGATAGCTTTTTGTTAGTAGTTCTTTGATGAGTTTCTTTCATATCCAATGGTATGACTCGAGTTGCGTTTTGCATCAGAACTTCATGTGAGTGATCTAGCTCGCTGAAATTCATTAGTATGATTTTTATTGATGACAATATTCATAGATTTCAGTAGTTGCTTTCGATAGATTCATTATGAGTAGAAGACGAATACATGCTTAAACTATTAACATTATTTGATGAAATATAATTGAATAAAGATATAACAAGATAAACAAGTTCATCAATCATTTATTTTTTTCTGAAAAAACAATACAGTGAAACTTTCGACACCTTTCATAGGGTCATTTTCAACACTAATTTATGAAAGAAAATGTTTACATATATATATGAAATAACAATTCTTTTTCTATTTCTATTCTTC